AAATAAGGTTGTCATTAGCAACCGTTTTTATTTATTTTTTGTTATTATTATTAAGTTTTTATTATTTTAATATATTTTAAACAACCATTGTTATCACGGAAATGCACATTTTTGTAATCATTTTACCATAATATGACAAATATAATTGTTGACAAAGCTACACTATCGACTGAACTCCGCTCAGAATCATTTTTTCATTTTTTCAAATCGTAAATATTACGGCTTATCTGAAACTGATAAAACACGATTCTGTACATTTTTCCTTTTTAGGAATACGATTCCGTTCGATTGTGATCAAACAATGGATTGTCGAAAAGACCCCGAAAACAACACGATTACGTACGGATTTTCCGATCGATGTTGCCGTTTATTATTTATTATTTTTAATTAAATTTAATAATATAAATTGTATACATTTTTTTTTTTTTACAAACTAGCTAAAAACTACCATAAAATTAAAAAAAATTATAATTTGATACCTTCGTACTTGTTACCAATACTCCTGACAAATATTTTTGTTTTCCGCTTAATTTTTGAAGAAACAACCACATGTCAATGCAGGTTTGTTTGAATTTTTCAGACGAGAAAAAATAAACAACGGGTATATAAAAGCCATTTCGTAAACAGTTAATTATATAACTGGATATAATATTTCGGCGCATAGTTAAAAATAACATCTGCGAAAAAAGTCTGATGAATTAACCATACATCTTAGATTTTATTCTGTAGTAACACAAACGCATAATTTGTTATCGGGTACAAAAACAAACTGGTCTCCTTTAACTTTAAGTACATCATTATTCTCCACACTTTTAAGTTGTTCAATTGATTCTGTTAAAGATTTTGGAAAAGCCGGGTATATTTGTCGTTGTTTGTCGTACATGGCTTTTCTGATTGACCCTGATATCCCTATTTATCTATTTCTGAATTTATGCTTTTTGACGAGTTCTGTTCGAATTATTTTTATAGGTCGGACAGATATAGTATCACTTGCTTTGCGTTTACAGTTTTCTCTCAAAACTTGTCTTTCGAGACTTTGGATTGAATTGTTACAGTGATTATATTATAAATATTTTCTGTTCGATGGATAACATTTCCGTTTGCCACAGTGCACGTTGCATGATTTTCGTATACATAACCATTTTTTAAAATCGTTTTTTCGTGTTTTTATAAGCCGATATTTATGGAAATTAAGTAACACAGGGGTTTTTCTTTTTCCGAAATAATAAACTTCACTTCGTTTTCTATATTGACTATTTAAAAATTTTATTTCTGTAACGCACCGCACTTTACACACAACGACGTGGTTACTGACTGTCGACTAGGTAAATCGGTTTAACATACAACGGGGATAATTAAAATATCTTATCTT